GTGGGTGTGGGTGTTGGTGTGGGTGTGGGTGTTGGTGTGGGTGTGGGGTGTGGATGTGGGTGTAGTTATTTTTATCACGATACCCACACCCACACCCACACCCACACCCACGCCGATACACCCACACCCACCCACCCACGCCCACACACCCACACCCCACACCCCACACCAACACGCACAACCAAACCCACACCCACACCTTCACACGCACACCCACACCCACACCCATACCCACACCCACACCCTTGTACTTCCTGGTACTCCATTTATTCCCTCGTACTTCCATGTACTTTGTTGTACTCCCACGTACTCCCTTGTACTCCCTTGTACTCCCTTGTACTCCCTTGTACTCGGAGTACGGGAGTACGTGTTTTTCCCCTTGACAAGAGCACTGATGACATTGGCTGAAATACGGTTGCATGTAAACATTGCATCATCATTGATAATTGTGTATGGTTGTTAAAATATACTCATCACAATAGATGTAACAGAAGAGAATTAGCTCTTTTCTTGGATTAGATGGAGATTCTGTCAAAAAGAAAATCTTGTATACAACTGTATATAAACATGAGATTTCTCTAGAGCCTGATTCTTCCCAGCTTTAACATAGTTTCTCATCATTTCAAATGTATCATAGTGGAGAAGTACATCGATAAATCCATGAAAAACGTACGTTTTCTCGATTTATTTAGGTAAAAAGTATCTAGGAAATATCTTTGTTCAAAAAATAATTTGGATTTAATTGTGAACTTTTAAGATATCTATATAAATCTTGACGAAAATCTCAACACACTCGTATATAATCATTCATAAATACAGAAGTTTCGTTGAAAGGTGTGGGTGTGGGTGTTTTTGTTCTCTTTACCTACATCCAAGCCACTCACGTCCCACGTCCCACACCCACACCAACATCCACAAACCCACATCACCCACCCTCACCTACCAACAGCCGCACCCACACCCTAGTAAACTGCGCTGACCCTCACATAAGATCTTGATGGTAAAGCCACTTTTCCAATATAGTAGATTGTTTTCGACACATTTGAGCTGCTTAAAGTGTTGTCGAGCTTGTAGTGGTCTATAGAGTGAGTTCTCTTTCAAGGTAAGTATAACAATAAATTGTTTTCATTTATATAGTATGGAATAGAGTACACTTGAAAGTACTGCCAAAGACAATGGAGGAAATTTACAAGAGTTGAGAATGGAGAGAACTACCTTTAAAGGAACGAAGCCTATAGATATAGATGTTTGTAAACAAAGGGATAGACAGTCCGAAATTCAGATTGAATTTTATACTCGTTATCATACTGTGAGTTCCATAAAACCGAGTGATTGAAAAGCGTTGTTGGGAAACGCTGTTCGATCTTTTTCTTCTTAATAGACGCTAAATATGTATGAATCAATGGTAGTTTGTTATTAGAAATTATTCATGACTCACTTCTTTTGTCATTAGAATTTCAAAGAGCAACAACATCAAAATATATTACCAAGCAGCAGCGATTATGAAAATCATCAAGTTAATGGTGATATTTTTTCCAGAAAAGTTGTTTTATTCGAACTGTATATTCTTACAATTATGCAAAATGGTCCTTAGGCGTTGGATGGATGATTACGACGTTCTATGTGCTTCTTAATTTCATTCAATCTATCTTCACAGACGCGAATTGCTGGATGTTTTCTTTGCTCACTTTCATGAAATATTTGTTTGGAAACCTCGTGTGATTTTTTATAATACTCCTGAGCTTTCTGATATTGACCAATAGAACGGTAAAGATCTCCAATTGTACGGTGAACGAGAATCATATCAGGGTGATCCCAATGTAAGCAATCAGCAAATTTCATATCCACATTCTTTAATTTATTCTCTGCTGCTGCTTTATCATCATTGGTACGTATTGGCTGTAAAAGGGCTTCACTTAGAAGAAACCAAGCATAGGAGGAATGATATGTCGGATATTTGTCATTTATTAGTGTGCGTGCTTTGTCTATGCAATCTTTGGCATACTTTGGGTCATGAAAACGCATAGCCAATGCGATACGAGAATATAACCGAAGAAGTTGTTTTTCTTTGTTCGACAACTGACGATAAACGCGAAAAGCAAGAATATAATAATTCGTTGCTTCAGGAAAATTTTGTTGTGTCTCATAAACTCTCCCAATGTTACTGTAGGTCATGGCTTCGACTTCATCCTTGACAAATTGGGGCGGAAGACAATGAAGAAAATTAATCGCGAAAAGATAGCACCTTAATGCTTTGTCATATTCTCCCCAATGAAAATAGACGCTACCCCAGTGATTATAAATTTCAGCCAGATCCGGATGACCTTCGGGCAATTGTTGTTCAATTTTCTTGCAATAACGAACAACATTTTTATATTCACCACGATACAAAAGAAAGTCGCCGAACGTCGACAAAGCATTCGATTCGTCGATGCCAGCTGTTAGATCGTTGAGAGTTGTCTTAATTTGTTCATTGTTCTCTTCGCTTAAAGTCATCATAATTACGAAATAATGATTAGTCTCATCCTTTTCTACACGATCAACTCGAAATACACTCCCTAATGCAAATAACACTTCCTCTTCGCCAGCAAAGTTGCTAAGATGTGCAATAGAAGCAAATGGTTTCACATTTTTCGAATCAACTGTAGTAATGTGGAACAAAATTCGAACCAACGATTGCTCATCTCTGTCACGAATGAAGTGCTCTGCTACTTGATGCGACCTGCTCGCTGAAAAAAAGGAATTAACAGAAATAAGTGAGCCGATATTGTTCCTAATGCCATCAAGTTCTTTTTGACTCATCAATTGACCACGAAAAACGGTAATGACTTCGGACTTATGCAAGCTGCCGAGTGTTTTCATCATATCGTTGATAATCAGGCGAAACTCAAATATTCGAAGACTGTCTTCAGTTTGACGAAGAGTTTTGTTAAGAAGTGCGTATATAAATGTCTCTCTTGTATACCAATGCAATGCCTCTTCTTCTTTATATGTTTTGTCAAACTCGTCGATCTCGTCTTTTACACGTGTATCCATAAAATATATTTTATGTTTTCGGCACTCGTTGATTATATCTTCTTTAGCACGATGGCGATCGGAAGGATGAAGTTGAGAAAGAATACCAATTAGGTATTGGAATGAAATGAATGACGAAGTTTCTTTAGTTAAACTCTTTGTTGACTGTTCTTCCGAATTTTTCTTAATTAATATATCGAATGGCAACGATTCATTTTCCGTGAGATAAGTCTTAATATCATTACGAACTTCTTGACAAATATGGTCGAAATTCAAATCCACAGAACTAATTTTGGAATAGTGGCTCAGTTCATGCTTGAACATCGAGAAGTAAATATAGATTTTTCTCACATAACGTATTTGATGTATCAATGAGATATCTTCAATATCATCGGATGTGGCTAATATGACAAAAATATTTTCATATTTTTTACATGTCGCCTCCTTGTAGGCAGTGCGGATATCTTTAAACGGGTAAAAGTAGGAAGAAATGCATTTAATACGTTGAATCTCGGAATCATTCTTTGAGTCTCCAATCCAAAAGATGGCAACAGAGATCGAAGTATTTCGAGACATCATATTTTCTTGTGGGGTCCTAGAGTTAATGACAGATGGATTGGAACTAGGAACTATTTTCTGTTCATTTGAAGTGACAACTGTAGTTGCAGGAAGTAACCTATATACATATGAATTTAAAAGAAATCTGTACTGATTTGAAAGTTTCATACTCTCCTTCTATTAGATAAATTGATTGACGTCTCTGAATACTGAAAACTATTGTGCAACACAATATAAGTCATCTTACGTGTTCTCGATAAGGTAAGGAAGCTTGACAACATTCCTTCGCTCGGGTTTTCGTGGTACTATCGCGGATAGTTTGGAAGCAGATGATTCCATTGTCAACCTGGTTCACTGTGTATGAGTGAGCTTATGATGTTGGCTGTCAACGATTCTTGTGTCAATACAAAAGTTTCAAATTTTATGATTTACCATTTGTTGATTTAAGGAATAAAAATTTGTCCTTCAGCATCTCTCCGTCAACACTTCTTTTTTCTGTATTACTTCACATTGCTGATCAGCAGTGTGTTGTTATTCTTTAAAAAGGTGATCTTTTCTCTTAAAAGTCTCGCGAATGCAATTTTATTGTACTGTTTATTTTTTTTTCTCCTCCATGACTTTTCTTCAGGGAGCAGGCGGCTGAATGAGAAAAACTGTCTTGCTCAGTCGATGCCATGTCCCGTCCTGTGCCGCGTTTCATCTATTTTTTTCTTCTCCACTCCATTCCGTCCAATTTTGCGTTCCGTCGAGTCTCATCCAAGCACTATATATGAACTGCTATTTTCCACATATCGACTATGATACACAACAAAGGCATACTAGGCACAATTCCCATCTATGTACAATTTCTTATTCAAGTCTGCCCTCTTTCGAGAATACTTCCTATTCCATTGATGTTGAACATTGCGGAATCAGTTCCACTCAATCTCAAGAACTTGATCATCACTCAATACAAGAGGCTTAATCGGTATTAACCGAGTTCCGTCAATTTCCGGAATTCCGAGAATCACTTTCAATTCTCGAATTGGAAAGCATTCCTGGCAATTCCCACGAATTTGCTAACAATTCCCGCATTACAATATCAAGCATACACATACCGCTTGCACCCACCGACCATTGATGCAATTCCAGTTAGAAATTCCGGAATTGGAACCGATTCCTGCTATTCCGGAATCCGAAGGCATTCCGTCTAATTCCGAAATTACTAGCGATTCCTGGAATTCCAAAATCGGATGGAATTCTGTCTAAATCCGGAATTGCAAGTGATTCCTCGAATTTTGGAATTTCCTACCGGATTTACGTCTCGCCCTCACCCTCATGCACTGGTGTGGGGAAAGGTTAATCACTGGAAGAAGTAATTAATTCCGATGCGGAATTCCGGAATTGGAAGGAATTGCCAGGAATGCACTAGCAATTCCGTCTAATTCAGGAATTGAAAGTGATTCCCGGAATTCCGAGAATCGACGGAACTCGGCTAATACCGATTAGGCCTCTTGTATTGAGTGATGATCGAGTTTCCGGAATTGAATGGAACTGATTCCGCAATGTTCAACATTGCGGAATATGATGACTGCTCCCTCTTCCAAGAATAAGACACTTTATTTCAATCGAAACAATACTTCGTAATTGTATGGAGTTGCAGTGCTGATAGCATTACCAAAAAGACTTTTCTCGCAAAAAAGGTTTGAACCCTCCATTTTACTATTATTAGCACACCTTCTGTGAAAAAGATATTGTACGTATGATTTATAACTTCATTTTTCTGACAAGCACTCAGAGTAATCACAGCAATTTTTTTCAGATAAGAAACTATACCCTACCATAGTGCCAAGCTCTCGCAGCAATGTAGATAACTTTTCTCACCTATACAATTTTGCTCCCATTTTTCTCGCAAATTGCAGCCGCAACGGGCGTAACCCGTTTCAGAAACAAATGTAAACCACCATATTTTTAAGGAGCTATGAGAGTGAGCATATATCGAGTCCCAGCTGTTCGAGTTCCGTACATGCCTATGTGAGAGCAATTAGGGTTATTTTGTGAAACACGATCTGAAAGGAGTGTTGAAGTGTTTAGGCGAAGAAATTTGGACCACCCCTCCCCTCCCCTCCCCCACAGACCCTGACAGACACTCACGTGACCCGTCACAGACAGGCTTCGGGAGGCATCACAGACCGTGACAGACATCTCAATTAATTAATTAACTAGTATTGAATTAACTAAATAACCGTCACAGATCGTGACAGACAGGGTTTGAACCCATCACAGACCGTGACCAAGCAGGCCCGAGACCCATCACAGACGGTGACAGACAGGCTCGGGGGCCATCACAGACCGTGACAGACAGGCCCGAAGCCCATCACAGACCGTGACCAGGCAGGCCCGGGACCCATCACAGACCGTGACAGACAGGCTCGCGACCCATCGCAGACCGTGACCAGGCAGGCCCGAGACCCATGACAGACCGTGACAGACAGGCTCGAGGGCCATCACAGACTGTGACAGACAGGTCCGGCACCCATCACTGACCGGAACAGACAGGCCTGGCACCCATCACAGACAGTGACAGACAGGCCCGGGACCCATCACAAACCGTGATAGACAGGCTTCGGGGGGCATCACAGATCGTGGCTGACATGTTAATTAATTAATTAATTAGTATCTAATTAACTAATGAACCGTCACAGACCGTGACAGACAGGGCTTGGTATCCGTCAGAGACCGTGACAGAGAAACTGCAGTTCTAAAGCATTAGATAAATGGTTAGCTTACAAATATATTGCAAAGAAATGGAACAAAACGATTTCCATTTAACTAATAACAATAGATCCATCGTGTTTCACATTTTTAATCCTGCAAGAGATTGCGCTCACAGCTTTTTATATATAAAATTCGATTGCACTTTCTTTTGTACCGATGAGAGTAATGATGATAACTTTTTGAGATATAAAATTATACACCTTCTTTCCTGACAAGCTGTGAGGAATACGTTTTTCAGATATCATATTACATCCCACATTTCTATAAAGCTGTGGAATTAGCATAGATAACTTGAGAGTATGGGTGGGCATAGATGTGGGGTGGATATGAAGTGTGGGTGTGAGATGTGCATGTGGATGTGGAGTTCTAGATCTTCCTATCCTTAACATGCCCACAGCCACACCCACACTAGCACGCAAACCTGCATTCACTCACCCCCACCTTCAGTGTACACTAGACCTCGAAACAGGCCACCTGACCCGGTGGACCGGCTCGGCCCAACACGGCCTCACCAAATATTTTCTCTAGTTGGGTCACCTTTTCTGTCAGGCCGCCCGGTCCGATAACTTTATTCTTTTTTTTGACATTTAATTCGTCCATGACGAGAGATAGGAGGAAAGTTTCTGTGCTGCCCCTCGGTCACCACTTTTTTTTCTAAAAGGCGAACAATATGCAATAGCTCTCGATTAAGCAAAAATCTTTGTAAGCGAGATTTTCTTCGGACTCATACCGGGCGAGCCTAAGCAATGTTCGGGCTGGTATAGGCCGGACCGAGCCTTAAAAAAGTGGCCAGATTTCGAGGCCTGGTGTACACTGACTGCACTGGTTCGGTACCGTCGGTAGTCAGTAAACAGAAACTGCACATCCCTAGAGTGACTTTTCTCAAATAGAAAACTATTTCTCCCTTTCCTGAGAATATCTTTGTGCAACGGATGGCAAATTTTTGAGACATTAAATTGTATGTTCATTTTCCTGATAAGATCGGAGTTGATTGGGGTAACTACTTTCAGATACAAAATGGTACTCCATCCACCGAAGAAGCTCTTAGGGTAAAAATGACAACTTGTTCAGATATAAAATTCCCATGTAGAAAAAAAGTGAACCAAAAGTCACTTTTTATCACTTTTAATAGTAATCAAGTAAAATAAAGTAACTTTTCTTACTATTTT